CCTCAGCTACAATGAACGGCACCCAATTATTATACCCGAAAACTCTCGTTTTTGCTGTCTTCTTTTAGACTTTCTCCATTCGACCCTACTACATGCGGAGAAACAGCTGATGGTCCGGATGGTACAGCAAGAGTACTACATCCCCCGTTTAAAGCAGATAGTAAATTAGTGTATATTTCATTGCAAAACTTGCACCATCTATAAACAGCAGATGAGGTCGCAGGTAATGGTAGCATTGCCACCCGAGAGATCAACATACTCCTTGCCCTTCCACACAACAGGAGTCGATTTCGCTGGCCCGTTCTTAGTAAAATCGTCCCCACTTCGACGAGCTTCATATGTGAAGGCGTATGTCTGTGTGTTTGTGTGTTTCTCGACAAAGGCCGTTCATTTAGAACTGTGTTCCGACCTCAGCAGACCTCGTGGCATACCTCACCAGATCCTCTCCGATAATGGGAAAACCTTCGTTGGCGCCCAACGAGCACTACAACGAGATTTCGCCATGTTCCTCAATGCAGCAGCTACAGACGTCGNCCAGAACGTGAGCAATGCAATTTGGCGACACATTTCCTGCAATGACAATCCAGCGGATTTGGGCACACGAGGCTGCAAACCACAGGACTTGGTGGAATGTCCGCTATGGTGGGAAGAACCCAACTGGCTCATACGGTCGTCAACATCGTGGCCTAAAGCTGTGTTNCAGCGGAGGGTCAAAAATTCTCGTTTGAGGAACTCGCTACTCTTCTGGTTCGGATAGAGGCGGTCCTCAATTCCAGACCGCTCTCCCCTATGTCAGAAGATCCGCAGGATCCCCTTGTGCTAACCCCAGGACATTTCTTACGCGGAGCAGCACTCCTATCACTACCCGAACAAAACGTTGAACATCAAGGAGCTGCATAAACGCTACAAATGGAAGCGCCCACAGCAGAATATCGAAGAAGGTGATCTAGTGGTAATAAAAGACGATTTATTACNTGGGGACACAATAGCTCTGCTGGAAGATTCGAAGCCAATCAGCAGAGATAGCCCCCTTTTGACATTAAACCCAATGTTGGACAAAGCAGGAATAATGAGAGTAAATGGTCGACTTTCCTGTGCCGCCCTCAGCTACAATGAACGGCACCCAATTATTATACCCGAAAACTCTCGTTTTTGCTGTCTTCTTTTAGACTTTCTCCATTCGACCCTACTACATGCGGAGAAACAGCTGATGGTCCGGATGGTACAGCAAGAGTACTACATCCCCCGTTTAAAGCAGAAAGTAAAAAAGTGTATATTTCATTGCAAAACTTGCACCATCTATAAACAGCAGATGAGGTCGCAGGTAATGGCAGCCTTTCCACCCGAGAGATCAACATACTCCTTGCCCTTCCACACAACAGGAGTCGATTTCGCTGGCCCGTTCTTAGTAAAATCGTCCCCACTTCGACGAGCTTCATATGTGAAGGCGTATGTCTGTGTGTTTGTGTGTTTCTCGACAAAGGCCGTTCATTTAGAACTGTGTTCCGACCTCAGCAGACCTCGTGGCATACCTCACCAGATCCTCTCCGATAATGGGAAAACCTTCGTTGGCGCCCAACGAGCACTACAACGAGATTTCGCCATGTTCCTCAATGCAGCAGCTACAGACGTCGCAGAAAGATATGCCCTTCATGGAGGTCTATGGGAAGCCGCCGTGAAGAGTTTTAAAATACATTTTACAAAAGCAGCGGAGGGTCAAAAATTCTCGTTTGAGGAACTCGCTACTCTTCTGGTTCGGATAGAGGCGGTCCTCAATTCCAGACCGCTCTCCCCTATGTCAGAAGATCCGCAGGATCCCCTTGTGCTAACCCCAGGACATTTCTTACGCGGAGCAGCACTCCTATCACTACCCGAACAAAACGTTGAACATCAAGGAGCTGCATAAACGCTACAAATGGAAGCGCCCACAGCAGAATATCGAAGAAGGTGATCTAGTGGTAATAAAAGACGATTTATTACCCCCCAATGAGTGGCGTTTTGGGCGTGTAATCAAATTGCATCCGGGTCCAGATAAAAACGTTCGTGTTGTCGAAATAAAAACTAAACAAGGAACCATCACCCGAAACATTACGAAACTGTGTGTGTTACCAACTGCCTAACGCTATGCTTACCCGTCATACTCTACATTTTGTATCCCATTATTATTTACCCTTTAGCCGTATGTATAAATACATAGCAGCTACCCTTTATCAACGTATTTTCATCTAACCCATTTTAGTAAATGCTTGATCCAATCGTCCTTTCTATCTATTCCTGTCCTTACAGAACCCGCAAAAAACCAGAGCCACAGAAGTGCCGTCTGTGTGGTCAACGTCATATGCTGAGGCATTGCCGTGCGTTCTTAGCGATGAAGCCGGAGGAGAGGTACGAGTGCGTACGGACCCATTGGTACTGCGTCAACTGTCTCGCCGTTTCTCACACCGCCGGGGCGTGTGACTCCGCGTCCAGCTGCCGTCGATGCTCGCTGGGTCACCACCGGGCTCGGCACTCAGATGCGCGGCGAACTCAAAGCCGCACGCGGGCACTGCAGAGCCGATCAGCTCAACAACGCCAACAAAAACTACGGCGACTGGTAGCTGAGGCAAAGGCGGCCCTGGACAAATTAGATGCCACCCTAAAATCGACAACGCATCAGGCGGGGGAGGGAGCATGTTGAGAACATGATCGAATTCTCGGAGTAAGTCTCCACCTCCGTCAACGTGGCGATCTGGCAACGCCGTGTCAGTGTGGCCAAAGGACCACGGCTGCCTGGTCGAAAGCACAGCAGCATCAACATAGTCGTAGACGAACCGCCGCCGCGTACGTGGGTTTTGGTGTTTTTGGATCCGTGCTCATTCGCCTGTTGTTGTGCCTTTTTATAGTTAAAAGAATAAAATTAAAAGAATAAAAGTGAACTTTAATTATTCCAAACAAAAAAAGGTGCGTGTTTTATTATTCAGCGGTGAAGCTAATCGAAACACATATCTATGTGCATACTTGTGTTTTTCATCCGAAGGCATTTTATGTATAATAGATACATACAGCGCAGGATTTCTGTTATAACTTTAGTAAAAAACGGGATTTAGGTTGTATTTAGGCGGGATTTTATGAACCCAGTTACTGGCAACACTGGACTGAATGGCCGAGTCGTCCGGTCTCGGCAAAAGACACTAAGATATGCTCAAAATGTGATAGTGTTAGTGTGCCCATCACTGTGTTAAACACTTAAAGTGAAAGTACATAACGTCCATTGCGTCCCGTCACCGTCACCGGCAGTTGTCAAAAAAGTTGAATCGATGTATTTGTATGAAGTAAGTTACATGAACAAAGCTGACGGTGACGGTGCCGCAAAAATTAGCTCAACTCTCAACTTTGCTTATGTGTTTGTGTCAAGTGACAACTATTCAGTGTTTTGTTTACATGTTTGAACGCAAATTTTTCCAGTTTGTGAACATTTGTAGATTTATGGAAAAACGAAATGTAAAGAATTATGGGGGAAAACCTAATAGAAGAAAAGCAAAAGTAAAACGAAAATTTTGGAAAGAGTAGCAGAGAGTTTAGGAACGGACCTAATGTCAAACGGATACTTAGTTTGTAACTTGACGCATAAGCATCGTTGCCTGTGATGACGGTGGCGATGACAGTGACGCAATGGACCATCCATTTCATGTATTGTATTTCACTTTTACACTTTCGTCTCACCTTTTTTTTGATAAATCTTATCGTTTGGTTGAAAAATATAAAAAGGAAATTTATGTGACTTTTGACTTTGAATAAATTTTTTGCAGGCTTTTGACATCTCAATTATAATGGTGTTCGCAACATTCCTACCAATTTTCAGCTTTAAGCGAATTGTTGCAACCGTGAATGTCTAACTTGACCGAGCTAATGCAACACGTACTACGTATGTAATTAACCTGTCTCTTTACATCGGATTATAAACATCGACAAACATCGATGTTTGAAGTCACGACCATCGATGCTGCTCGATACATCGATGTTTTTTTACATCCCTATTTTATAATTAAATTTTCCATCCCTGATGTAATATCAGCTGTAAAAGAGGACCAGAAACAAACAGCGGATTGCTCTTTGTTCAATAAACATACCTCCAAATCAAAATTAAACATACCTAGCAGGGTTTCATAGAGAATCTGACACAATAGGCAATTAACAATTTGAATTTTTGTATGATAAATTGGGTAACAATTAAGGCTTAAATTGGTGAAAAGGTTCTTAATTGCCAATTAGGTGCCTGTATGAGCATAGTCTAACAGCCTTATTCTGTATCACGAACGATAAGTAACACGAACGATTCGTCTGCAGACGACAACATCTCTGATTGCGATTTTATGACTCTATCGGTCGTCTTCGTCTTGCTTTTCATATATTACGTTGCAATGGTCTCGGTCGCGTTTAAACCGGCTAAAATGATGCCGCCGGACTAATTTTTTAAGCATTCCTCTGCAGACGAAACGTTCGTGCTGCATATCGTTCGTGATACAGAATAAGGCTGTAAATCGTCAATACCCATTGTTTTGAAAGCAATTTAAGCTGCTTTTAAGTTAGATTCGTTTCCTGCAGCAATTATACAATATTCTATATAAGAATAATACATTATATTCAATATTGTTTAAATGAATAAATACCTGTGTAGTTGAACCTCGGTGCTCATTTGATACATTTGTATCCCCGACGTAACTAATGGATAATGTTCGAGATCTGGACCAAGCTCTCTGTAATTAGACAATATATCTTATTAATTGTGGAAGGAAAAAATACGAGGTATGTTATTCAACGACTGGAAGCTACGGATACATATTTCAAAACGTATACACATACATATTTATAGTATGTACATTAGGGTGGCACCAAAAAACATGCGGGGCAAAAAGTTTAAAATGTTTCGCTCGCACCCCCTAGGATTTTATAAATGGAAAAAAAGAATATCCCTTTTTTTGTTTAAAAAAAAAACATGATATTTAGAACTGCCTCAAAGCACACGAAGTTTTCCATATATTTTATATGGCGAAAAAACACTTTTTGAAATTCTCGAAAATTTATATAAACAAAAAAATGTGGGTATTCCTTTTTCTATTTAGAAAACTCCTAGGGGTGAAAGCTCCCTAACAAAACCGAAACAGGGAACAGAAAGTCCCTGCAAAAAACCGATGTTTAACACCTTACCAAATATATCTTAACATAAGTTTTCNTAGAACTGCCTCAAAGCCCACGAAGTTTTCCATATATTTTATATGGCGAAAAAACACTTTTTGAAATTATCGAAAATTTATATAAACAAAAAAATGTGGGTATTCCTTTTTCTATTTAGAAAACTCCTAGGGGTGAAAGCTCCCTAACAAAACCGAAACAGGGAACAGAAAGTCCCTGCAAAAAACCGATGTTTAACACCTTACCAAATATATCTTAACATAAGTTTTCGAAAAAAAATACAATTCTCACAAAATAAACCATCTCGTCATAAAGAAAAATATTTTAAAAATAGTTCTTGAAAACCCTCATTTTTTAACCACGTTTTTTGTAGAGAATTAAACAAGGATTACGATGGTATAATTTAAAATCCCTAATTTACTGGTGTTCTGTATGCAAATCAACTTCAAAAAAATCAACTGTTAATAGTAAAGTTAGCTTTAGGACAACCCTGACCACCTTATATATAGAAATTTTAGGCCCGTTTCCTAGCTTTAGAATAACGTTAAGATGAAGTCTCTACGATGAGCAGAACCCGAGATATAACGATTTGAAGAAGTACATGATTAGTCAGAATCACGAAAAATGCAAACTTTGACAGATCATATCTCCGGAGAAAAAATTCCTCGAACACTTGTTAGCTTATTTCAGAGCCCCAAAAAAGATTTGAAGCGAATCGGAGACATGAAATAATTGTTTTTACGAAATCCGTCCGACTTAAAAACGAATGGCTCATATGTAAATCACACTTTCAAACTTTATACCGAATTTAGAAAAATTCCACAAATGTTTATCTTAATTTCTAGTTTTTAACCAGAATTATCATAAATTTTTAACAGGCTTATAAAATTTTATTGAAATAAGTGCAAGTTTTTAGCGGCTAAAAATCGCATTGATTTTTAGTCATTTTTCAGGAAAACTTGTCACCTTACTTTTTGCTACCAAAATTCGAACTACCTAATGTACCAAAGCAAGTGCACTTACCAGAGCCCAACAACAACAATACACAAGGGCCAACCAAATAAACAAATAGACGCACAAACAGAAAGTGACAAAAAAAATTGCAACCAGCTGACTCAGTGGAGACGGCGGGGTTGCTTGAGGGGGAACAACAGGGCNTTCAGCTGACTCAGTGGAGACGGCGGGGTTGCTTGAGGGGGAACAACAGGGCAATATACAAAATACTTAGGGCAAATGGAATTTAAAGTTGGACAACAATAATTGTATGAGGGAACGGCATCAACTATTAATATGTATGTAGCGAACTAACGTACAAATATCACTACTAGGGTGAGCCTAAAATTACGAGACAAGTCACTGAGTATTTAAATGCGGCCAAAAGTATTAAACGACAAAACAAAAGATTCTACGCAACAAAAATGAAAAAACAAAACCTTGTTTGTTGGTGCACCCGATGTGAGGTCCAACCAAAAGGTTACGAACCCACTCGCAATACCACCCAAGCTGCCGGGGGTAACTTTAACCCGCCGAGTGACTGGGCTCTGGGTGCGGGATGCTAAAAGAAAGGGATAGGAACCACGATTGGGAAAAACTACCGACAACTCTACTAGCCAAATACAGGCAACAACACAAATGATACTTATGCTGCGGTCGGGTTGTGCGTCGACCACTGGGTGCTTCTGCGATGCTACGCCGCCCAAATTCGCTACCAACACCGCGCTTTGCCACCTCGACTGGGGCCACTTCTAGATTTGCCTGTCCTACTACAGGCTAAGTGCCTCTCCTGGCACTTCACAAGGCTAATTCCCATCAAACCCCTGTACTGCGTCTGGTACCAAAACACTTTTCAATTATCTTTTAAAATCACACTAGCACTAATTCGCTCACAATAGGGATTTTTCCCTTCGCAATGATCACTAGGTTCTGCCCCGGCGCACAGCTACAAGTTGGGCCGTAACCTACGCGCCGGTCCGCAAAACCATCGGGCCTCAGTGCTGGTGTTGTTGGTGCCCGATCACTTGGCGCCGGCCCGTTAATTCTTAAACGAATTGGGCGCTTTGGCGGTCGCCACCACGGCGCACAAAAACAACCACCATGGACTTTGCCATCACCATCATTCGGCGGACAACAAAAGTGCCGCGATAAGAGAAAAAGGCGACGCCCCTATTGTGGTTTTTCGCGTCATCTCTTTTTTCTACCCATTGGTCGGTATCGTTTTGGCGAGAACACCCCTAATGGAGACATTTCCCCAATGTGTTAGCACACCACCGACAATCAGCTGTTTTGCTCTTCAACCTAAGCTTTAATTTACACAACTAGTTGCCGGTAGAGTTCGCTCCTATCGGTTGGAGTGAAAGGAAATAAGGGTAAAACGGAGGAATACGCAAAAGAAAACTTTGTTGCGGCCAGTACGCGACAAACTGACGTTGACTTTTTTATTTTTTTCGCACACGGTCTTGGGTATGTGCTTCCACAAGAAATACATGTTTCTACGGAAAATAGTGCAAAACGCCGTCAACAAAAAAAATATTAAAAATCTATCCGATTTTTTAGCCGCTCATGACTTGCACTTATTTTACTACAATTTTATAAGTCTGTTAACTGCATACCCAAAAAATGTATAAAAATTCTAAATTTAGGGAAAAATTTTTGGAATTTTTATAAAATTCTGTATAAAGTTTGAAAGTCTGATTTATGTTTATAAAAAAATAAAAAATCTATCCGATTTTTTAGCTGCTCACGACTTGCACTTATTTTACTAGAATTTTATAAGCCTGTTAGCTGCTTACCAAAAAAAATTATAAATTTAGGAAAAAATTTGTGGAATTTTTATAAAATTCTGTATAAAGTTTGAAAATGTGATTTATATGGTATTTGCATGAACCATATTTTTATAAAAAAAACTAGCAGACCCGGCGAACTTCGTACCGCCCAAAATAAATTTTTTGTATTGAAACATTTTGGTCCAACATTTTCACCAACAGTTCACGTTCATGATTTTCAGTAACGCTTTTATCTTCTAGTGTTACGGTTTGGTGGATGTCAGAAGGCATATTTCCATTGCCTTCTTAAATAACTTAGCAAAAGTGTATATGCATACAAAGATACGTAATAGCTTCAGTGCGTTTGAAAGGCGCCACGCCCCCTTATAAAATAGCCGCAATTTTCTCTAAGAGTATGGGATTAATTTCATACATCTCCATACCAAATTCAAGTACCCTACCATGAACACTTCCAGAGATATGCAGAGTGAAAAATTTGGTTTGTATGAGAGGTGCCACGACCCTTTTTCCAACAGCCAAAATTTTTTATTAATTTTATATATCTCCATACCATGATCGAGTACTCTACCATAAACACTTGCAGAGATATAAGGTGTGAAAAATTTGGTTTGTATGGGAGGTGCGACGGCCCCTTCACTTAGCGGTGGGTAAGGCTTCCTCAAGTGGGCACCGAATTTACCAACATTAATATTTTCCAATGATATTCAGGCAGCGCCGAGTTTTGTAGTCGAACAGTACACTGTGTATATTTTTTTTTTTCAAACTTCCAAATACTTTTTTTTAATCAACAATTAAAAATTGTTGCAGTGTTTTGGAAATATTTATTTTTCTTTGAAAGTAAGTGTCCGAATTGAAATTTTTTTTGGGTGCAGATTTAAGAAGCATTAAACTATACAATGAAATTATTTGCGTTACAAAATTTTTTTTTTTGCTTTTCAATCTTTTTTTTATGGAAAATTTAACTTTTAAGCAATTTCTGCGCCTCGTGGGCGAAAATTTTTAACAACAACNTGCTTTTCAATCTTTTTTTTTATGGAAAATTTAACTTTTAAGCAATTTCTGCGCCTCGTGGGCGAAAATTTTTAACAACAACTTATGTAACAAACATTTCTATGTATGCATTTATCTATGAAAGAAATTGCTTAAAAGTTCAATTTTTCATAAAAAAACATATTGAAAAGCAAAAAAAAATAATAATTTTAAAACGCAAATAATTTCACTGTATAGTTTAATGTTTCTTAAATCTGCATCCAAAAAGATTTTTTGATTCGGACACTTACTTTCAAAGAAAAATAAAAACTTCCGAAACACTGCGAAAATTTTCGACTACAAAACTCGGCGCTGCCTGAATGTCATTGAAAAATATTAATGTTGGTAAATTCGGTGCCCACTTGAGGAAACCTTACCCCGGTATGAAACATATTTTACAACCTATTAAACTGTGGAACAAATTCATTTTAGCAAAAGTTAGGTCGATTCTGAGAGTGAGGGGTGAAAATAGAGGCTAAATTAGAAGACCCGTATCGCGGCGTTTGTTTATGTTAGTTCGAATTTTTTTGTAATCGACCTTCGAACTTTGCAGTCAAATGCCGATTTTCAGCATATTGTTTATATGGCTTTTTGGCTATAACCCGTCGACTAATTGATATTTTTTCAATCTGTTAAAGCCAAATTATTGCTAGAGACCTGTGGAACAATTAAAATTTTTAAAAAAATTTATTTAGAAAATTTTTGTAGTGCTTATGAAGCAAAATGTTGGATTTTTTTTTCATGCTTTTTGA